GAAAAGCGCGTCTACATTGGCCACAGACGCTTTTCCAGAAAAAGGGCTTTTCCGGAAAAGCAGCCTGCCAATGTAGACGCTCCTTTTCCAGAAAAACTTAAAACGGAATAGTATTCCATTTTAAACAGTTCCAGAAATTCATGCCAGTGTAGACACAGCCCGGCTACGTCTACACTGGCCCCTTTTCCGAAAGGGGCATGTTAACTTCAAAGTAGGAATAAGAGATCCTCCGGAAAAGGGCTTTTTTCCGGAGAATCGGGGCCAGTGTAGATGCTCTTTTCCGGCTTTTCTAAAAGCCGGAAAAAAGCGGCAGACATTTTTATTTAAATGCTGCAGGGGATATTTAAATCCCCCGCGGATTTCCCTATTACAACCTGTGAAATTAACATGCCCCTTTCAGAAAAGGGGCCAGTGTAGACGTAGCTCCCCAGTGTAGACTGCTGGCAAGTTTTTCCAGAAAAGCAGCTGATTTTCCAGAAAAGCTGGCCAGTCTAGACACAGCCCCAGTGTAAACAGGTAGCAAGTTTTTGCGCAAGACCGTGCTAGTATAGACACAGCCAAGGGAAAAGGGGCAGGTTGGGCCAGTCTTACAGCTCACACCTGGCAGATATGAAACAGGCTGACTCAAGCCCTTTAACTCTTCCCCCCAGCTCCATTCACTCAACTCTGGAAGGGGGAAGGCTTGTTCCTCAGAGACCTCTTACAATGATGGTGGTATCTCTCCTGCAAGCACTGGTGGCATGTTTTACAGTTCCCACATTTAGGGGTAGCATGATTTGTGACCCCCACAACAGCCCCAAATTATTTACAATATACCACTTTCCATTCCAACACTGATCCTCCATCAGCCCTGGTTGAATTGGATTTACATAGCCACACCTCGGATTCCCTCCCCCTCCTGGCATGAGCTCTATTTACATATCAACAGTTAACAGTTAATTATCTTGCAGAGCTAAACAATTGGGCTGTGTCTAGACTGGCCAGTTTTTCCGGAAAATCAGCTGCTTTTCCGGAAAAACTTGCCAGCTGTCTACACTGGCCGCTTAAATTTCTGCAAAAGCACTGACTTCCTACTGTAAGAAATCAGTGCTTCTTGCGGAAATACTATACTGCTCCCATTCAGGCAAAAGTCCTTTTGCGCAAAAGGGCCAGTGTAGACAGCTCAGATTTGTTTTGCGCAAAAAAGCCCCGATTACAAAAATGACGATTGGGGCTTTTTTGCGGAAAAGCGCGTCTAGATTGGCACGGACACTTTTCCGCAAAAAGTGCTTTTGTGGAAAAGCGTCCATGCCAATTTAGATGCCCTTTTCCGAAAATGCTTTTAACGGAAAACTTTTCCGTTAAAAGGATTTCCGGAAAATCATGGCAGTATAGACACAGCCTTGTAGTGGGCACACCCACGCCCAGGGCAGCTCTCTCCTTTTTGCTGGCTGATAGCAAGCAGCAGTTCAGCCCCTGCTTACACCAACATTGGAAAAACCCCTCTGTTCTTTCGATTTACTTTAGAAAGAATGTGATTGCAGTGTGGACGTTCCACAGGTGTCAGAAAAATGGCTGTTTTTCCAACAACACTCTGTAGTGTAGACATACGCACAGTGCATGGATTTTTGATCACTGTGTAGATGTACCGAGAGCATTTGGTTTATAAGGAAGTGAGATGCTTTGGTCTGGAGCACAAATTCTGTGAATCTGCAGCTTTCCCCCTTAAGAATGTGTTTGAAAGGCTAGCAAATGTAATTTTGGTGGGAATGTGATCTCACATAGGATTGCGACTATCTAGACACATAAACTAACACCTGAAACCTGCCTACGTCGTGTTTAGTTTGTCCTTTTATATTGTGTTTTACAAGGGTTTCCCATCTCCTGAGAAACTCATTGGCAGGTTCCTCTTCTGTTAGCACATTTCTGTGCAAGGATTTCTAGAGAATCCTACCAACAGCTGCAGTATAACAGTAATATTTCTGTAAGAAGCCTCCTGCCATGTTATATTCAATCTCATGTTTCCCACTGTTTTGACCTGCAGTGCAATCAGAGTTTGCCAGCTTTGCTGTGTAAAACCACTGCAGAGGAATAGATACTCTTGTGGCTGCCCATTTGACATTGTATCTAGTTTTATTGCTGTTTGGGGACCAATAAGGCATCTGCATGTGGTTTTTGTAATCTGCAGCATAGCTCTAGATGGAGAATCATTAATTTGCAAAATAAATGTTCTGAAGGAGATAACTAAGAGTTCAAAAACCCTAACATATTAAAATGCAGCATAATGTCTTGGTGTTTGTGGCATTTT